CCCTCTCTCGTTCTCTCATGCATACAACCAACCACTCACTTACACCCCCTCTCACACACACGCCATTCCAGTTTCTCCCTCACTCATACATGTATATATACCCATCCTTCTCACTCTCACAACCTCCCACATGGACCCCCAAGCCCTCTTTCTTCACAGAGACCCCTATCTCGTACACACAGGCCACCCCACCCTATCTCCGCTCATACACATACCCAACCATATCTCTCATATTCAACAACCAATCTATCCCCCACTCACTGTCACACACACATCCATCCCCACCTTCTTCATATATACTCATCTCCTTATCATTCACACATTTTAGGCAACTGGAGTTAAGTGACTTGCCCAGGGTCACACAGCTGGTAAGTATCAAGTGTTTAGTCTGAGGCAGGATTTGAACTCAGGTCCTCCTGACTTCAGGGCCAGTGCTCTATCCACTGCACCACCTAGCTGCCCCTCATCTCCATTCTTTCAAATGCGTATATGCATATATTACCCTCTTGACACACAAATCCATCCCCCCTCTTTTTCACACCTCAATTCCCCCCCTCACACCCACCCACACATCTCCCCTCACTTTCAGCCACATCTATCCATTCATTCCCTCTCACACATAAACTCATCCTCTGTCCCTCCTTCCCTCCTTTCTCATTCTCTCTCTCTCTCACACACACACACCCATATATACATACAGTCATCTTCTCTCACAATGCCCCCCTCTCATGCCCTAACCCTTATCACACAACAATCTCTCATAACTACACACTTACAGAATTGATCCCCCCTCTCATCCCTATCACCCATCTTTTTCACACTTAACCTTGCCACATACACTCATTTCCCCTCTCTCACACACCCATCTTATTTTCTTACATTCTACCATCCCCACTTTCCTTTCAGACAAACCCATTCCCCTCTTTACACATACATACACAACACCATTCTCTCTCTCGCACACTTCCATCCCATCTCATCTCTCACACACACATAAAGCCATCGTCTCACAAACTTGCCTTCTGTCAGACTCCAACATCTCCTCTTCTCTCATACACAACCTTTCCTCCTCTCTTACACTCAGATCCTCTGTCCACTTTTTCTCACCATATTCCAGTGCTCCAACCCTCTTTTTTTTTTTCACATATCTCCATTCCCTGATTTCCTTTTTCTCTCACACCCAGGCCCTTCTTTCTCACACACCCTTGCTCCTATCCCCAATCCCTTAATACAATTCTGCCTCTCCCCCTCAAAATATGTGCATCTCCCTCCCTCCCTCCTTCCCTTGTCCTTCATAAACAAATCATCCTTCCCTAACACCCTGATGGACTACCTATACTACCTATCATACTACCTACAGTATCATACTACCTATGATCTCTCTTGCCCCACAGACCCTTTATCCTCTCTTTGGCACACAAAAATACTCATTCCTCCCTTAGGTCCAAAAACCACCTGATCTCTTCTCCACACAGATCCTCTTATTTCCTCATGTAACCCCCCTTCTCCTTTTCTTTCACATGAAGGGAACCCCCATCTTCTCTCTCACATACACACAGATCCTCCATTCCCACTCTCATATGGTATGAACCCTCCCATCCTTAGTCTCTCATTTACACACAGGCCTCCTTCCCCTCTCTCTTGCAGACATCCATCCTCTCATATAAAAAGTCACACATCTTCCTGTCTGTCCCTCATTTTCTTTTTTTTTTGTCCCTCATTTTGATGCACACAATTATCCCCTTTCACACACATAGATACCCAGATCTCCCCTTAACTCACATTAATGCACCCATCTGTCTTCCTCTCATTTTGCCATCCATCCATCTGCCCTCTCACACACAGACCTTTCCATCTATCCACACACATATGTGCCCCATCCAACACAAGACCTTTACCTGCTCTTTCTCATATACAGAAAGACATTCGTGCCCTTTTTCTCTCATGCACACATTCTCATCTCCCTTAACAAACCATTTGTCCTCTTCATGTACACGCATAGACACCAGTCCTCCCTCATAACACACACATCCCATTTCATTGTCATATACAAACCCTCTATACACATGGATTCCATCCTTGTCTCTCATGCACATACTCCCCCCCATGCCCTCCCTTTCTCTTAACACACACATCCAACCCCACTCTCATACACAGACTCTCTATACACATAAATCCCATCCTAATATCTCATGCACACATAGGCCTCCCCATCCCTTCTCTCATACACAAATTTCCCCCATTCCTTCTCTCTCATACACACACAAAGATGTCCACTCATACAGGTACAGCCACATAATCCTAATCCTAATCCGTATTCCTTCTCAGACTCCTGGTATTCCCTTCTTACACACACTCACCCTCTCATTCCCACTATGATCCCAACATTCATTTGACCTTTTCATACACATATAGAGCCATGACCCCTCTCACACACAGACCCTCCCTCTATCTGATCAAGCATTTATATCGCATTTTAAAGTTTGCAAAGCACTTTACATATATTAGTTCCTTTGATACCAACAATTGTAAAAATTAGGTGCTATTATTTACATAAACATTTTACAGATGAAGAAACAAGCTGCAAAGTTTATATGACTTGCCAAGGGTCACACAGTGGCAGAATTTGAACTCAAGTCTGCCTGACTCAAAGTCTAGAGATCTATCTACTGTGCAAATCTGCTTGGAAGCCATCCCTGCTCTCTTATAGACATACACCCTGTCTCTCTGCATACTCATACACACAGAACCTGCCTCACTCATATACAGACTTCTCATCCCCATTCTCCCATGCACAGACTCCCCCATCCGCCTCACACACAGATACCCCCATCCTCCTTTACTCATGTAGACCTTTGACACCCATAGAGACCACATCCAACCCCTTTTCATAAACACAGACCCTCATCTCACACATCTCACATCTCATACACAAAGACCCATCTTCACTTTCTCATACACATACCTCTATCTTCCCACCTTCTCACACATGGATCCCATCCCTCCCTCACACATACACCTCTTAGTGTAATAGATAGAGTGCTGAGCCTAGAGTCAGGAAAACCTGAGTTCAAATTTGACCTCAGCTACTTACTTTACTAGCTATACATCCCTGGGCAAGTCACTTAATCTGTTTGCCTCAGTTTCCTCAACTATAAAATGAGGGATAATAATAGCACCTACCTCCCAGTGTTGTTGTGTCAAACGCTATATGTATAAAGTGCTTAGCACAGTGCCTGGCACATGACAGGTGCTTAATGCTTATTTCCTTCCTTCCTTCCTCCCTCCCTCTCCATCTTCTCTTTCAATCCCTCTTTCACACACAGAAAAACACATATAACCCTTGCCTCTCACTCTCACATCTTCACCCTCCTCTTGCACACATTCATGCTCCTTACATGTAAGTTCAAACACGTCTCCACCCTCCTCTTACATAGTCATACATATATTCCATCTTCCCTCCTTCTCACACATAATATTCATCCACATCCTCCTCCTTACATATGCACACACATCTCAGTCCTGTTCCTGTATACCACACAATTCCATGCATTCCGTGCATGTACCCACTTTCTTTCCCACAATATACTCATTCATGTCCCAATCTTCCATCTCAAATGCATTATATATCCTCATTCCTCCTGTCATATATATACATGCCCCATCCTTTCTTACACACACACACACACACACACACACACATCCTCATCCTCCATCTCACAGATATCACTCATGCATACATTTCCCCATCCCTCTACACATGTTCAGAATCATGTGCCTCAGCCCTCCTCATTCATGCATGCTCCCAATCTTTTCATACACACAGATCCCCTGATCCCTTAACATACAATTCACTCACAAAGCTTCTGCCTGCCCCTCCCGCACAAGTCACACATGGCCCTCAACCTCCCCCTCTCTCTCTAAAACATATGCTTTCCTTTCACACATACTCATTCATAGATACACACAGCCCTGGCATTCCCCCCCCCCCACAGTCATCAATGGGCCCTTCTTCTTCATTCTAAGGTATGACATGATCCCAACACTCTCTCACACCTCCATCTCCTCTTACAGCAAGAACTCTGGTTTCTTCTCCCTTACACCCACCCTGACCCCCCCCACACACACAATCCCTATTTCTTCTCTCTGTATTCCCATTTCCCTCTCTCACATAGACCCCCTCTCTCCTCTATACATCCCATCCTCCTTCATATATCTCCATCTCCCCTCTATGTACTTCAATCCTCCTCTCACGTACTCAGCCCACTCTCCTTTCTCACACACACCATGACCCATCCCTTCACACATCGCCATCTCCCCTCTATATACCCCCATCCCTCTTCAAAGTACCTCCCCGTTCCCTCTCCTTCCATACCCTCCCTCTCCTCTCTCATACTAAAACCTAAAGCTCCCCTTCAAGACACAATCCCATCCATGCCCCCCTCTCTCACACACAAGTCCCCATCCCCCTCTCATACACACTCTCTCACACGTACACACACACAGCCCCAGCCCCTCCTCCCCTCAGCCTCACCCCGGGCTAACGGCCGCCCCTCCCCCAAAGCCTCCTGAACCTTCTTTCTCGCGCGAGGGGGGCGGGGGAAACGGGGGCGCGCGCGGGGGCGGGGGTTGAGGGGGTCGACGGCAGCTCGCCAGTTGGACAGTCAATGCTCGCGCACCCAGTATCACCATCCGGGGTTGTCATAGCAACACTGTAAGTGCCTCTCGGTAGCGCGCGCCGAACTAGGAACAGCTCTGCCCCGCCCCCAAACCAACTCCTCCCAGCCTTTATGGGCCTGGCCCCCTGGGAATCGGGCGCGTGGCAGGTCCAGCTAGGTTTACAGCAGCTTATTCCCAGAACTCTTCTCCTTCCCTGCCCGATCCTACCACAGCCATGGGCGCGGGGGCAACTAGTATGCAGCATAGTGTGGTCAATTCTCCCAGGAGGTGGGGCGTGGGGGATGGGGGTGCGCAGCCGGAGAAGAGGGGAGGACACTCACCTGCGAGAGGAGGCGAACGAGAAATGGGCAGGAGTATTGGGTGAGAAGTTGCGGGGACTGTCCAGGGGGCTGCTGCCTGAAGCGGGGAAGAAGAGGCGGTTTAGGCCAGAACTGCCAGGTCCTCCAGGGTATCCTTCCGTCTTAGGGAAGGCCATATGACCCCTTCTACAATTTTGCCTCGATCCTAGCCAATGTGTCCCCACCTGGATCCTGTTCTCTCCATTCTGGACCCGCCTCCATTTGGCCTTCTTTCTAATCTAGATTCTCTCAGGCCTGTTCATCCTCATCTGGTTCAGTCTCTAAACCCTGCAGGCTTTGCTCCAATCAAGAGCAAAAATTCTGATGGCCTCTGAGAGCCCTTCCAGCTCTCGATCCAAGATTCTAATCTGCCTTCACTTGATCCTAACCCGCCCCAACTTGGCCCACCCACTGTGCTGTCCAGCTCGGCTCAAACCTCACCTCACCTCGCCAGTCTCCAACCTGACCCCACCTTTCTCCTAGCCCTGCCTCCGCTCCATCTGGCCCCACCTCCTTTCACATATGGCCCCGCCTCTAGCCGGGACAGCCCAACTTTCTTTCCAGGAGAGACCCTGACACCCTCTCACTTTCTGCGCTGGCCTGGCTTGGCCTCCCAACCCTCCTCCCCTACCCTAAAACTCACCTATGTGTCCAGGGAGTGGAGAATGGGGCCTCGGTAGAGTAGGTGACGTACTGGTCAAGATGAGGCTTTTCCTATTACTGGTACGGCAGCTGCAGGGAGGGGAAGGAAAGGGAGGGGAGGCGGGCAGTGCCGAGCAAAGTCGAACAGAGCCGGCCCTCAACTCTTCCGTCTTCCATTCCTATTCCCTCGCGGGGCCAAAGCTGGATGAGCTTTGGGACCTGTAGTTTGCTGGGTTCTAGTCTAGGGTCTGGGGACCAGGTGCTAGGAGCATCCCTGGAGCTTGAGTTCCAGGTCAAGGGTCCTTGTCTCTATCCTACCCTAACAAAGGGCCCTCTGGTGTTTGGAGTCGGAGTCAAGTGTGTGTGTGTGTGTGTGTGTGTGTGAGACAGGGAGAGAGAGAGACTGTTATCGTCTGTGGCTGTACGTCTGCCACGGTGACTTTCTGTGATTGACTTCGATGTGACAGTATATTACTGAATTTGTATCTGTCTGTGCTTCTGCCCCTGTGTTTTTCATAGTGTCTATCTCTGTAACTCTGTCACAGTCTGTTATCTCACTTTGTCTCTGTATCACTGTTTCAATGACTGAATCTGAAGAGTTTCTATTTCATTGTATCTCATTGTGTCTCACGACAGGGCTGTGTGTGTGTCAATGACTGTGCTGCTGCATGTGTGTCTCTGTAGTATTGTGCGACTCTCTCTATGTCTGTCTCTATGGCTCTGTGTGAATTTCGGTGCCTGGGTGACTTCTCTGTGACTCCGTTTATCTGCCTGTGTATCATGCCTGGATAACTATATATCTATTTGTGTGTGGAGGGGCAGAGAGCCACAGTTCTCTCTGACTCCCGGTACAAGGGAGAACGGATTAGAAGGGGGCTCAGAGGAGGGCGATGTCTTTAGCCCTGCCTTCCCCCGCCACCCCCACTGCCTGAGTGCCGAATGTTGTCGCTGCAGCCGTTGCAGTAAAGCATCTCATTAGATCAGGCAATTGAGAATGGGGGGGGGGGTGTAAGGCCTGGTGGCCTTAGCTATTGTTCACAAGGAACGGCGCCCCCACATCCCTTCTCCACCTCCCCACTCCATCCCCGCCCAAATTCCCCAAACCCCAGTGGCAGAGGCAGAACCTGGCTGTGCCCACAGACAAAGACGCTGTGCCCGCCCCAAGCTCCGCTTTTCCCCCACCACGCCATTCCCCCTCCAAGGATGTACGGGCGTTAGCAGCCTCTCCTCTCACCCCGATCCCCACTCCACCCCCAACTCCCAGGGCCACTGAGACAGCAGACCTGCTGCTCCACACACACATCTGGCGCAGCTGGGCCGCCTCTGCAGCAGCAGCATCCCTGGCCTGGACCCCGCCCTTGCAGCAGCAATATAGAGGCGCCTCAGAGCAGGGCCAGGCCAACTCCCTCGCCACCTCCCCCCCCCACCTTAAGGCAAGGGCAGGGGGCTGGTGGAGGGTTCAGGGCCGAAGCCTAGGACTGGGGGCTGGAAAGATCTAAAGTTGGGAAAGGTCTCACGGGGTTGGGGAGGATCTCGGAATCTGGGGGAGGTTCCATGGGCAGAGGAAATGGGGGACGGTGGGCAGTAAGGGGTCCTAGGGCTTGGGGGATCAAATAGGACCCGAACTGTGGGGGGACTGATGACAGTCAGTGGAGTGGGGGAAGTGTTGGAGGTTGGGTGAGTGGTCGGGGCCGCGGGGCTATTACCTCTTGGTGCGGCGGAACATGCTGCTGTCAAGGAAATAGGGCATGGAGAAATTGGAGAGCACGGTCCAGAGCGAGTCAGACATGGTCCGGGGGCGGCGGCGGCGGCGGCGGCGGCGGTGGAGACATGGCGGCGGCAGGTGCGCGGGGCCGGGGCCAGGGCAGGGACGGGGAGCTCAGCGCCGCAGCCGCAGCCGCATCCAGCCCAGCCCAGCCCGGGGAGAGCCGAGAGCAGCGAGCAAAAGAGCCAGCGAGGGACAGAGGAAGGGAGGGAGCACGGGGGAGGCGGGGGCCAGAGTGAGCGAGGGAGGGAGGGAGGGAGGGAGGGGGAGGGGGAGGCCCCGCCTGAACAGGCGGCACGTGGCCCCGAGTGTCTGTGTCTGTCTGTGTACACGCCTCCAGCCTTTCCCATGAGGGAGGACCCCCAGAAGGCAGAGTTTAGGCCTCCACCCGCAGGACACACAGGCCTAGCTCCCAAAGTTCCAAAGAGACCCTTTCCAGGTCAGAGGCCTGGGTCCTTCCTGGCATTCCCAAGTCCCAAGGCTCCCAGGTCCTACGCCCTCAGAAAGCACCTCTGGCTTTAAGGAGTGCCCAAGCCCTGGATCCTGGCACTCCACAGATCAGAGTGCCTCCAGACCCCAGTGCCCGAAGGATGGCTCTAGGCCCTAGCTTCATCTCCTCCCAGCCCCACCCTGACCCCTGGGAACCTCCAGTCACTCACCTGCTACTCTTTCTGGGCAGAGGCAGGTCCTTCTGAAAAGCAAACATGGGGGAAGTGAGCACACTGAGTCTAGATCAGCAGGGACACTTGTATACCCACTCCCATTATCCCCACCCTCTCCAGGCTCCTGTAACTGCTTTGGTCCTGAGAGTGTGAAGGACACTGACTGTGGTCCCCCCCCATGTTCCCTCCTTCCATGCCGCCTCTCATGCTAGGACCAACCTTTTCCCTTTGTCATTTAGGAAGTCAAGGAATGTAAATAGGGTTAGTTGAACTAGGGCCCAACTAGAAATGGGGATGGACCCAGATGGTAGCTTGGGGTGGATCAGGTCCCTGGCCAGGAGAAAATGAGTTATTCCACACCTTATGGTAGGGTTCCCTAATGCTTTCCAAATTCAAAGTGACCTTGTCCAGCATGAAGAGGACCAATAAGTCATTCCACAAGTCCATGAGGGGCTATAGATTTGCTTCTAACAAGACAAAACAAAAATTGGCCAGTTGCAAGATGAAGGAAAAGTTACTGACTGTGGGTCCTGGGAAGGTGAAAGTTCCTGGGTCCCCCTTTCCAGTACTGGTTTGGTCCTTTAAGGCTTTTGACCTGGAAATTATAACTCATGTTTTTAAAGAAGAGGAATTTAAAGCCCAGAGAGCTAATGTGACTTACAGCAAAGCGACAGATCTGGAAAGTGTCAATCAGGGCTTGAAATCAAGTCCCCTGAGGCCAAATAAAGCACTCTTTCCTCTAAGCCAGGCTTGCCATCTGTGGCAGCTTAACCTTAACAAAGCACTTGCCTCACAACAACCCTTTGAGCTAGGGAGGGCAAAGATGATTTTTCTGTTTTACAGATGAGAAAACTGAGACACCCAAGTGAAGTGACTTGTCCACAATCATACAGCCAGGAGGCATCAAAGCTAAGACTTGAATCCAGGTCATGTGATTCCTGGTCCTGTTCTCTTCGCACTATACCATCCCTGAGGCAGCCTATCAATGCTGGTCCAATTGTCTGGGGTCCCAGAAACCCCACATTTAAAGAAAGGGAGGCGGGGGAAACTAAAGCAAGAGAGAAGAATCAAGACACTTTCCCCCATGTACTATCATATTTAATGATTCAAAAGGAAAACTTTGCTCGCATTGGAATTTTCTTCAGGCAAACCTGCTCTAGAGTCCTTCCTAGTAGGCTATAAACCGAAATCTGGTACTTTTTTTGGGCTGTTGGCTATAGAAGAGAAGGTATTCCATCCTTAGCCTCCTGTCAGGCCAACCCCGGGGGCCAGCAGGACTTCCCTGCTATCGGGACAGCCAATGATGAAAGTGGTGACTAAGGGAAAATGTATTTGGAGGTGGGGGAAGGTTCTGTACCAGAAGAGAAGGCTAACGGTCAGCTTAATAAGTCCTGGGTCAGGGAAGTCTCTTCCTTCCACAATTTTTCTGGGCCATGCCAGTGCCAAAGGAAAGGGTTTATATATGGAAGACTTCTGGTGTATGTAAGGAAGAGTTTCTAGGATATGTGTCGGTGTTGAAAGGGAACCCAGGTTAACACAATTAACCCCCTAATTTTATGTAGGAGTAACTGAGGCCTAGAGAGGAAGACTGGCTTGTCCAAGATAACATAGATAGTTGAAGAGGTAGGAATACAGGACTCCAAGTTCATTGCTTGAGGACTTGAGGGCCCAAATCATCATCTCTGATCAGACCCCCAGAAACCAGAGAGCTACCCAGAAATGTCCCAGACCCTACCCTTTGCCACCAGCTGGGGAAGCAAAGTTCAGCTCTTGAAGAAAAGGAGGAAGAAAAGGGGGAATTTGGGGCCCAAAAAGCGAGTCAGAGAAGTAGGAGTTGTTCACTGAGAGCCCATCAGTCCGCCGGCCTCCTTCCTCCACATTCCTGTCCCCAGGCGTTCACTGAGCACCCTCTTCGCCTGGGAGGCCCTCAACTCCAGGCCAGGTTTTCATGCCGCCTTTATCAGCCCCGAGTGAATGAGCGGTGGCCAGGTTAATCTGGACCCGCCGGGCGTCCGCAATGGCCTAAGCAAAATTCTGGCACGGAACACGGTCCGTGGAAGTGAAGCGTCTGGGCTGGTGAGGGCCGGGAGTTGAGTGGAGTTGAGTCTAAGGGATCTTTCTGGAGCCCTAGGACAGCTGGCTTTCAGTCTTCAGGGTATTACTGATATTACTTCTGACGCCACGAGTATCTCCAAGCTCCGGGGGCCAATGATCGAATCCAAGGGGCCTGGTTGCCAGCCCAACCCCCAAAGGATCAGGTAGTTATTGCTCCAGCTCAAAAATATCCCCACTTAGCGTTCGAACACCAGGTTTCCTCTTCTAGAGGTTCAGAGAAGTGCTCCAGATTCTTGGCATTGAATAGACGCTACCTCATGGCTCGTGCCACCACCCTTTGGACATCAGGACACACCTTTTGACAGGGGCTTGGACAGCCCCGCAGCCCTTGGCGTGGAAGTGGAGTGGGGCGGGGGGGGGGGGGGGGGAGTGGACGGAAAGAATCATATCAGAATTTCTGAAGACAGACAGAACTCAGCTGGTCGTGCGGATGGAAGTTCTTCAGAAAGCTGGCACGTTCAAGCTCTTCAGTGCGAAAGTGTACGGCTTGGGGCAATTTTGGGGGCTCAGAGAGAAAGAAGCACGCTTGGTTTCTCCACCTCCGCGCTTTCAACTGTTTCTAGTTTCCGACACCCTCAAGCTCCTCATAGCTTTCAGTCCCCAATAACACCACGACTCCGAACAATGTTCAGTCCCTCATAATCTCCGCCCCTCCTCCACACGCACAAGAGAGCATCCGGTACCCTCAGCCACAAGTCAGAGTCCAGCCCTCCGTAAGCTCAGCCCCACTAAGGCTCGGAGTACCCAGTTCATTGCTTCCCCCCTCCCCCGTCCACCTCAGACTCGGGGCGGGACCAGAAAAGAGGAAGCCCTCGTGGCACTGAGCCAATGGGAGAGGGCTATGTGACCACACCCATCCAGGCTCCGCCCCCTCTCCATCTGACCTCAGCCTGGACAGTGCAGAGCAGAGTCTCGAACCTCTTTCTAACCTGGTAAGGGGAGTGCCTGTCAGTCCATACCAGCCCAGGCATCCCTCCAGGCCGACTGTCTCTGCCGCAGCACCTCTCATTCCAGGAACTAGAGGCATTCTTCCTCCTCTTCCTCATCCTCTCTCCCACCCTCGCACAATTTCAATATGTATCCTGCCTTTCCCCAGTAGCTGACCCTACAGCCCTTCAGAGGTCATCTACAGCTTTCCCTGTTTCCAGGCAGACAGGAATACCCCCTCCCCCACCGCCTAGTCTACATTGTTTCCCTGCTTACCTGAATCTGCCTCCTTCGACACCCAAAGTTGTTACTGCGGTCTGACCGAACTCTCTCCTGCTACATACACTACTTGCTCTGTTCACCCGAGATCTAATCGGTTCACACTCCCCGCACCTTGACACTCCCTAACCTAACCCATTCCCGAGTCTTTCCTACGTAGTATCTCTTCTTTCCACTAGAAGGTGGCTGGGTGGAGAAATGGTGAAAGGAGAGACATAAGAGGATGGAGGCTAAACCCTAGAAGTCTGACCTGCTCCTCAAACTCTAATGCTTTCCGAATGGTGGACCTAAATTCCCCTTCCTGGAGAGGGAGAGATTGTGTAGAGGGGGACTCGGTTTGCATCCCTTCCCGGATTCGTGGGAAGCAATGCCAAAATAGGTATACAAAAGCATCATTCTGCCTTAATTCTTAAAAGTCCGGTGACCCTCACTCTTCTGTAGGGGAAACTGAGTCAGGAAGAATCATCCAGTTCGTGCTTGTTCACCCACTCCAAACAGTGAACTATGAAGCCGGAGACCGAAGACACCCGAGTTCACTGCTATCCCCCCGGCTCCAGCCTATTCTATTCCTTCTTTCTGGGCCTCAGTTTCCCTGTTCTTAGTGGGCAGCCTGCCCCCCCCACCTCGCGCGTGCGCAGCTCGACCTCGAGACTCCCGCGACAGTGAGGAGCTAAAATTCGCTGCCGCCCACCGGCCAGCTGGCCCGGCCAGGGCGGGGAGGAAGGAGTGGAGATGGATGTTGTGCTGGGTCTCCTGTCCCCTCCTGGTGTGGGGAATGGGAGAGGGAGCTAGTGGTTAGTTTAGGCTCCCCAAATCCGGCTCTTGAATGGTTCTGTGATCATTTAGCTTAGCCCGAAACCGAGCACAAACATGTTTACCGCCATGTAGATAGAGGCGCGGCTAGGGTGGCCCCGAGGGCCTCAGGGAAGAAAGGGGAGGGGTTCCCTAGGGCCATAACTTTCCATTCTGCTCCTCCCACTTAGCTCTGCGGAGTCTGGAGAGCTGGCTCTGTGCCCCCAGGAGCTATCCTGTACCCCTCCTCCAGGAAGTCCCCGGGAATCTGTCCAGTTACCTTTGGGATCCAGGGACCCTCTATCTTTGCCCCAGTGCCTCTGCTGGATCCAGAACCCTAGCATGACCCCAGGCTAGGCCCTGACCCTCCTTCTGTTCCACCCTTACCTGGGCCCTCAGTTTCCCCGGCTGGGAGTAGGGCAGAGCCCTGGCCAGAGGGGCGGAGGCGGCTCCGCGGACCTCCCCGCGGCTCCTAGCGCGGCAGGACGCAGGGCGGCGTTTTGGGCGGGTCATTGCCCTAATAACCGGCGGCAGCCCCAGCCCCAGATGTGTACCTCCAGTCCAAGCCCCTGTGCTGAAGCCTCGGTGGACCCAAGCCTGGGAGGGGCTCGAGCTAGAGCTGAAGCAGGGAAACAGGGAACCGGGGACGTGGAGAATGTGAGTCTGCAGCTGTGGCCAAGCTATTTGCCGAGGTCGCAGGGGGCTGCGTTATGGCTTGGCCATTAGCTTAATGAGTAGGAGACTGCCCCAACTCCAGATCCTGTCCTGTATTCCTGACCCGACAACCCTCCCAAGGAACCGGGAAGCATCGTGGTCCCCAACCACAGCCCTTCACTGTCCCCTACCCCAAACCTAGCCCGAAAATCCCACATCCTCTGTTCTAGTGACCTTGTTTCGGTAGTGTCGGCCCCAGTCGCATTCTCAGCTCTTCATCCCTGGTCCCCACACCAACCCATAGCTTGCTCCGCACCCACAGACCTGCAGCCCCAGCGGACCTAGCCTTGGCAG